AACTGCATAAAGATGAATTATGTTAAGCTTTTTTTTTTTTTAATAGAATCAATTACAACAGTAAAAATCATCAAAACTTTTACAACAAAAAATTTTTTAATCCAGTTTTTTTAAAACTTTTACGTTTGGAAATAATACTTCATTAAAAGTATCTGTTGTACAGTTTATCGTTCGCTTAAAAGCGTTCTTTAGTAGTTCAGCACTTTTTTTTTCTAAAATACAGGATCTTTTTGTCGTTGATTTAGGCTCTAAGAGATGCCGATAAGAATTTTTTGCCTACTAAAAATTATAATTTTTATTATACATCGAGAACTATAAATATAAAAAAATGGTTTGGAAACACGTGCAAAGAAAAGTGTTCGTAAAGTCGTAAAAATAGCACAGAAACTCAAAGTAGTTGTTCTAAAAGGTTTTGGACAAAGTTCATCACTGAACATTCTATGTTACAACAGTTGTTTTTAGCTAATTTTATATTATCAATAGGTTTTTTACAATTTTTTCTCAAATAACTGTTCGTTTTTGTCGTTTTTTTCTCATTAAATTATTAATAAATTATGTCTGTTTATAAATGAGTCATATATATTCAGTTATAAGCTTTTTTTTATTTCACCAAATCTGCAGCACTTATAAAGTCTGTTATTTGATGTATAATAGGCAATTTATAGTAGTTTAGAAAGAATGGCATAACTTAAACGAGAGTTTAACAAATTGCTTAATTAATCAGCTGATTAAAATTGGTCAATTGAGTTAGAAAAACTGTCATGTTTTAAAAATATAATGACAGTTTGAATCGAAGGAAATTATAAAATCTGTCACTTGATGTCTAACTATATTGTAGCTAATTTGTTTTTACAGTAAATATTAACAAGATAACGATGAAGTATTGATAAAAAATTTTGAAAAAAGACACATTTTTTCAGTTTCTTAAATTATTTTTAAAAATTTAAAAATCTTATTGATAATTTCAGTCACATTTTGTTGTATTTAAAAGTTTTTTTTTGCAATTATAATTTGATTCTAAATATGCTACCAGACATCGTTTGGTGTTTGTCAACTGTTCAACAGTAATCGAATTTTAATTTTTTGCTATCTATTTGGGGGTAAACCTTTTTCAATCTGAAATTTGGTTGGCTTACTTTTTGAGCTCTAATGGCTAATCAAATTGAATAAAAAAAAAATTTTTCTAGATTTTTTTTAATAGGACTTAAAGTTAAGAAGAAGTTCATTTTTGTTATTCTAATTGTTGCCGTTGTCTAATCATAACGCTAATGCTAAGTTTAGCTCCAAAAATCATGTCTCTATGAAATGTATAATCAACTGAATATGACAGTTTGGCACTGCCAATCAAATGTAACTGTCAAAAAGCTAAAGACAGC